GTTCATTTTTGCCCATACTGAGCAACATTAATAGATCAACTCGCATTCATTGAACAGACTGTGTTTAGCTTGAGGACTCTATTGCTACTCCGAAAAACACTAGATTTGTAAAATTTCATTTTGATGCTTTATATCGGGCTGTGGGTATCAACATCAAGTTTTATAATATCTGGGATTTGTGTATAATGAACTACTTTTTCATGACTCACTATACTGCTCACTGTTTATACTGACTAGTGAAAATCATACTCACTTGTTAAAAAATACTGCAAATGGTTGTTAGTAAAACATTTAAAAATCAAATATCTTGCAACATCACGTGTCCGCTTCTTTCTTTATTTATTTGAACACATAAATGTTGGTACAAGGGGGCACCAGATATATATATATATATATATATATATATATAAAAGTGAAGATATAAAGAATGTAAGGTGCGTATGAGAGAGAAGAAAAGAAAAAAAGAGAGAACAATAACGATCACAGATTAGTTTATAGTAGTGTAATAATAATAATGGGGGGGGGAACAGAAAGGTACAACCACAAAGAATTCTTTCAGTTAAGGAAGTTACAACCACTTTTTATGAAGAAAGTAAAAGAAGGTTACAGCAGGATCGACACCGGCTTCTATTCTGAGCCATATCTGATAACGTCTCTAGCCACTGTGTTGCACCATCTCTCCGACCCCAGTCAGGGAGTCGAGAAGGACCAACAGAAGCCAGTCCTTTGCAGCTTTCTTTCATACCACGACACCATGTTATACACTGACCACCTCTACGCTTGTTCCAACCAGTCCCAGTGTCAGCAAATAATGCGCGACGTGGAATTCGCTGGGACGACATTCGTAGAACATGTCCAAGCCACCGAAGTCGATGTTTGAAGATGGTGACACCAATTGAATTATCGTCGCTGTGCCCGAACACACAATGTCGAACCTCTGCATTATTAAAATGGTGTTACCACTGGATGTCAGCAATCGTTCGGAGACAACGATGATCGAACACAGAGAGTCATCTAACATGCTGAACTCGGATAGGCCATGTTTCACAAGGATAGAGCAGAACTGCTCTCACCGACTCGTTGTAGATCCAACCTTTTACAGCGAGACTGACATAAGGAAGGCGCCAAAGATGGTGCAGATTGGCATAAACCTCTCTGGCTTTGATTATACGTGAATCGATCTCATGACTCACGCCACCACCAGCACTTATGCAGCTACCTAGATACACGAACTTCTCGACTACTTCTATCTGCTCACCACCCAGGGTGAGTATAGGATTATAATTCTGCCAGTCTTGTAGGAGTACTTTTCACTTGGAAGGTGGAAAGCGCATACCGTAGCTACGGACACTGATTGCCAACAGATTAAGTGTGGATTGCATGGTTTGGGCATTATCGCACAGCAAGACAATATCATCCTCATACTGGAGGTGGAGAATTCTTTCTCTATGCAACAGATCCACACCGCCATTCCTTACATCCATCAGAGCTGTTTCCAGAACGTCGTCGATAGCGAAGTTGAAGAGGAATGATGAGATTGGGCAACCCTGTCTAACAATGGAGTAAGGTGGTTATATGCCCTCACTCTGCCTGAGGTGTTTGTATATAGGGCCTTTAGGATGTTAATAAACTTCTCAGGCACACTCTTCTTCAATAGACAATCCCAAGGAACAGTCCGCTTCTAACAATATTTCTATATTCAGCTTCGTTGCGGATACATTAATGGAATCAATCGTCCCTATCCATCTTCTGAATGGTTAATCTCTAGTCCACGCATTGTATAATCGAACTACATTGTTCAGAAAGGACATCCTTGTTTTACTGAGGTTGCGAACAGGATGCAACTTTATTGAGTGACGCATCGAGAATTAATTCATGCGTTCTGGTTCTTAGTTTAACAACAGAATAGCCCTTTTTTTTAAACATAACCACGGTCACTAAAAGCTACTCTTATCAAACTAACCTTTTTTAGTTATAGTATGTTATTTAAACGCATCTAACAATGTATGCTTAAAACACTTGCTTTCATAGGTTAGGCATACTCTATGAATTTCTTCCTAACCGCTTTCACATCGTACATTATTCGGGGATGTTGCGACTGGGTGGTGAAGCGGAGAGCTAGTTTATGACATGGTATTATGGTATAAAAGAAAGCTGTAAGGGAGTGGAAAATGAGTTGGTTCATCACGATACCATAATTGAGTCCTTGAATTAGTGCGATTCATTGGCTTCAGACCTAATCAGTCCATGACTCAGAATAGATGTTAGCAAAGATCCTACTGCTGTTTTCTGTTGCATTTATCAACCCGTTATATACTGCTCTATAACTTTAAGGAGGAGAGTAAAAGTTTTCAGTTCTTAGCTTTTCTCTTCCAAATGTTCATACGAGTCAAAACTGTCAGAGTATTATTGTCGTGCATAATTTGTAAAGTTTACATCCGATCTATATTCTCTTAAATGTAGATTATTATCAGTAAAAGTTTATTGAGTTTTTTTTCAAAATTCACTTTTGCATTTTTTTACTTTCTTTGTAGACAATAACCCATTTATCCTGCCTGTTGCATCATTATGCTATAAATTAGCTGAAATTCGTGTTAAAGAATATATACATTATCGTGAAACTCAAATTTTTCAATCAACAACTTTTGATTCTTTTAATTCAACATCGTCATCATCATCTCCACGACGATATTCAACTGACAATAATGATTTCAATGAAATAACTACTGTTATGGATGCTTTACGTTTATTGAGAAACTGTTTAAATTTAATATCAGTTCATGAAAATTTTTCTAATGTGTCAGATCTATCAGGTTTATCATTTAATCCAGCAACTACATCACCTGGAATACAAGATTTAAAATTTCGTGCAGTATTATTACTATGTCGATTGTATCTAATTACACCTACAAATGTGATTATGACATGTTTTAAAGATATACAAGGATTGGTATGTGCAAGTCGAGAGGTAAGTTCTTCCTAATAGAAAAAAGAACAACAATTGAATTACAAATATATTTGTAACATTCTGTTTGATGAATTAGCTAAAGAACCTGATTTTTGGTGACTCAAGGATATTTTAATTAGTGTGAATAAATATAGAGCAAGTATTCTAAAGGTGTTGATATTCTAACTGGGAAGTAGATATGAATATCTGATAAGATGTGTATCTGAACATAATTACTATACTTACTTGCGCCTGTTACCCCTCATTGGAAAAGTATAGGTCACCTACCAAGAGTTTCCATCCAACTTTGTCCTGGACAATCATTTCCAGTTGTTATCCATCCTTTTCATTACTGCTTCCACTTCTCGACGTAGTGTGTTCTCTAGCCTTCCTCTTTTCCGCTTCCTTTTAGGATTCCAAGTTAACACTTGCATCGTGATGCAGTTTGGTGATTTCCTTAATATGTGTCCTATCCACTTTCATCGTCTTTTCCTAGTTTCTTCTTCACCTGGAAGCTGGTGTGTTCTCTCCCATAGTCGGTTATTGCTGATGGTATCGTACCAACAGACATTGAGTATCTTGAGTAGACAATTGTTTATAAATACTTGTACTTTCTTGATAATGATTGTATTAGTTCTCCAAGTTCCAGCTCCATACACCAGAACTATCTTTACGTTCATATTGGAGATTCGGACCATAAAAATTATAATAACTAATCTAAATTAAAATCAATCTAATATCCAATGCATTTTTTATCCAAAATAGCGATTATTTTATTTCATGTAACATTTGAATTCTTATTGAATCATTATTATATAATCATCATTTCATTTAATTGTATATCACTCTACTGCATCTTCTTTTTGTTATGTTTATGTAATAAATATCGTCTTAATGGAGTTTTGTTCTCTAAGCTGGATGGTTTGGTCAAAAAGAACCAATCAACATCGAAGTGTACAGAACAAGCGGTGAAACGCATATGGAGAAATTCGAACACTTCTATCTGAAGTTTGTGCTGATGATGTCGTTCAGAAGAACGATGAAAGCTCCACGACCAAACCATCCAGCTCAGAGAACAAAACTCCATCAAAATCATCCACCTGAGCTACAAATCTTCTTCACCATCTCAAATATCGTTTTATTTCTTTCATTGATAGACTGTTAGTGTAAATATTGAACAATTTGGAAAATCTTTGAATTCTTCAGAATTAAATACATTTACTTTATCTGATGAAAATGAACAAATTACTGGCACTACTACTAATAATAAAAATTCAACATTAGTTTCAATCAATTCCAATCGTAATTATTTAGGTTCAATGATTATTGATGCACTGAGGAAATCGAATACATCGCAACTTTCTGAATTAGCTATATCAGTGAGTAATATATTTGTTTTCATCAAATTAATTATTTTTGTAATAATAATAATATTAATCACTAGAACGGATATTGTACTCAGTGACATATATTGGGAAATGAAGTATTTCCAAAAATGTAGACGATACCGGAATCAATCAACAAAGGATGCCTAAATCTCAACTGTGACTGATCAATTATAATTTCGATTATCAAAAAAACTCAAACGGGAAGTTATAAATTCATCAATATTCACAGTTTAGTTCATTGACCGATCTGCGTTAGACTGCTACGGAAAACCTGAGAGTACTGAAAGCGTGTTTCGTTCCAGTAGTGCCCATCCACAACTCCGCGACCGGAAATCGAACCCAGGCCCTTCGGTCTCTTGCTCGAATCTTTAACCTCTAGACCACGGAAACCAAAAATCCTGTGCTCGATTCCCAGCTTCAGAGTTGTGGTTTCACAATACTGAGGAGTCCCGTATTAGGACGAAGTGGCCATCCATTGCCTCCAAGTTTTCAATGGTTGTCTAACTCAGATTTGTTCGTTGTATCATTGAAATTCAACAATCCCCACAATCCTACACATATATATTGGGGATAGGGCGTTTGACTTTCGGTTACTAAGTCCCATGTTTGTACCCATCTCTTCCTTCCTTGGTTCATGCATCCAGATAGTATCATTAGTCATCATACTTATAGTGTCTTTCTAAACCAAGTACACAAATCTGTTTCTCGTAAATGTACTGATTTTTCAACTTAGTGATCAATTTGTTGCTTTGTCCTCCTTTGTTTTTCTTTTGAATAATACAGATTCTTGGCTCCTTCAATCGTAATCTCGCTTATGGTCACCATCGATCTAATCTAACTAATACAAATGATCGGGATAAAATGCTCACACCATATTCCTCATCAGTAAACAATCATCACCATCAAAATTGTTCTGCCGAGAGTTACGATAATGACAGTATAATGAATAAAAATAATGAAATGAATGACTCACAAACGTATTCTTTACCATTTGCTGTATTAAAATCTTATATTGCTAAGTCAGAAGAATTATGGTTCATGGTATATCAACAAATGCATCATACTGATACCATATTGAATCCAATTGTAATTGAATCATTAAACATGATATTTCAGTATACTTTACCAGCTTTAATGCTTCTTGGTAAGTAAAATAATTTGAATAAAAGTGGTTTCTGGCACGACTGTTCATTTACCTTTGCTTTACTTTTGTATTGGGGCGCAAGACCAAGGGCTCTGGATTCTAGTCCCGCGTGCGGGATCGTGGATGCGCACTGCTGAGGAGTCTCATACTAAGACGGAATGGCCGTCCAATGCTTCCAGGGTTTCAATGATGGTCTAACATCGATCGTTTCATGATCTCAATTAATTTTTTATTCATTTGTCTAACAGTAAGATGTATTATTGCTGAGTTCTTATTCGCTTACTTATTAGGTATTATTATTATTAACATCTTCTTGGCTGCATTCATTCCAATGTATTTAATATTTATCGGTAATTTTATTAAGATACTCTTAGAAACTAACCTTTTTCTATCTTTCTCCACGTTTTTTCTACTGTTCAATTATGTTTATTATTCACACCATAATCGTTCTACTTTGTCTGATAAGTGGTTGGTAAACACTGAACCTTTGTTTCGTGCTGGTTGGTACTCATCAGCAAGAGATACCTACAATCCTGATGGGGCGCATTCTCCCTCCGTAATTAGAACCTACGTTACCCAGTTTCACAGTCTAAGATGTTACCACTAAGTCCATGACTGATTTCTTATAGGATTGAGAGATTTCCAATTAATTGATCAATGAGCAGTAACCAATATCATGTTTGTTCTTAGTCTTAAACTAATGACCACACTGCAATTTGATCTGTAGAATCTGATCAGTGCTAAAAGATCAGACAAATAAGATATTGGCCATTACTCAGTATGTTTTTACTCTTGCTAGTATAACTTTTATTTTGTTTTCAATGTTGTTACGATTTCATTAGGATTAATTATTTTAACATTGAGGTTGATTAGTTACTCGCCCGTTTGTTTAAATTCAGTGTTGTTATCAGTGGGAAATAGACTGAATTAGATCATGTTTCATACAGAATTGCGTCGGAGTACTCTGGTTGAGTCATTTTTTAGCTGACCGGAGCTAGTGAATAAATTGAGAAGTCCCTAGAATCTTCCTGTGTGAAACTTATGAATAGACTTACATTTTTATTGTATGAACTTAGTTAACATGCCGTATTGTTTTGAAGTATTATTACGTCCCTGTCCAAGCTGTGTACAGATTTGAGGATCGGTCGAGTGGAGTAGTGTCTGAGGGATACTAGGTAGTCGAAGTAACTGGATCGAATAAGCAAGATTTAATGGTTGTTAAACCAATTATGGTCCCAAATACCCTGGTACGGTCGAGGGTGGGGAGAGTCTGCCCTCCCTCTCGAAATGCTCTCACATGGCCACGTGTATACAGTCACTTCCACGGAAGTCCTACTCACTAACTTTTCGTGATAGGGGTGTTGTTTTCGAAACTGAGAGGACGAAGAGCGAATGTCCGGCGCTTCAACCGGGTTGGTGAACACGGAGGGTCCATCTAGGGTAGTTGGAAAATCCTCATTCTAAACCAATGGTGCATATGGGCTACACGACCCTGAGGGACAAAATGGCGTATGAACCAGTTATTGGTCACCGGCTATCATTAGACTGCATCTCCTTACGTTGATCCACTGCATTGTGGGTCACACCTTTAGGTCGAAAGCTCCAGGTGTGATCCCCTAAGATTACCACCTGCTTCAGTCTAGGTACCCGGCAATATCACAGCCCACACATAAATCAAGTGACTTGTGTGGCGCATATGTGTTCGGTGCTCCTTTGTACCAATATTTATATGTTCAAATAAATAAAACAAATTATGGCTAAGAACTAATGAATGGATCTGTGACGTTTTTACTGATACTATAGCGTGTCGTTCAACGCCTCCAAGTACTGGTTTGATAATCACCCAGACATCAACCAGGTAGTTTTCATTTATCAACATGCCTGAGGCCAACAGTCAGTGAATTCATGGACGGAGTCTACGTTATCATGAACAAGTGGCTTCGACTATCATTCTTTAACCTACTCTTATACTTGAAATCATTGCATTTCGGAGTAATTGATGGTAGTTGAGTACGGATAATCCTTATCCTAGCCGCTAAATCGATAGATTTTCATCCAGTTTCCTACTTTTAATTATCCCCCAACGGCTGACTCAAATACTGCTCATTCTGCTGAAAGATAATGATATCATCATGTACATTCTATTCCCATATGAAAAATCTGTACGTTAAATTGATAAATAAAACTACATTAGAGGGAGTAGGACAATTATAAGTTACGAAACTATTTATTTAAACAACTTAATAGGTATAACGGCTTATGACCTACTTAAGCTTACAGTATCCGAACTGTCAAAACATTTCTGTAAACGGAATTCACCCAATGAGGGCATGAAAACAAAATACATTGGTCCTGTGAAGGGTTTTCTTTTCAGGGCAGTTTCTTTCTCGAAGCTTTACGATCGCTAAATATGTACTTCTTTCACATTGATAATCAATAATATGTTTGGTAATAGCATTAATTTACTGACCATAGTGACAAATTCCCAAATAAAGAACAGTGTTGTTATTATGGTCGAAAAACTAAAAATATGCTTTTTAAAATCTTAAATGTTCATTAAGGGTGTTATAGACGTTAGATAAGACTAGTAATTATGAAAAAGGGTTATGTAACATAATATGACATTAGTGAAGTTAAAATGAAATATAATCAAAGTGAAGTATGGAACATAAAATTTGGTTTGGGGTAAAACGTCAGTAGTAAAATGGGAGGTTGATTATGAACGCGTTAACAACTTCACTTATCTTGGAAGTCTGGTCAGCCCTAATGGGTTGGTGTCTGACGAAATCTCAGCACGGATTCGAAAAGCTCGTTTGGCTTTCGCCAACTGACGTCACCTATGGCGAAGGCGAGATATCCGTCTGTCAGTGAAAGGACGAGTATACTTCTCGGCAGTTCGTTCTGTTTTACTTCATGACAGCGAAACATGGCCATTAAGAGTAGATACTCGTAAGCTACTAGTATTTAACCACAAATGCCTTAGAAATATTGCTGGCGTCTGCTGGAATCACCGGGTAAGTAACAGAGAGGTTAGATGCAGGGTATTAGGGAATGATTGTAAATCAGTTGATGAGGTTGTGAATCTTCATCGACTGAGATGGTTGGGTCAAGTGTTGCGTATGCCTGAACACCGATTAACACGACGTGCAATGCTAACCGGTTTTGGGGATAGTTGGGAGAAAGTTAGGGTCGGTCAAACCAAAACGTGGCACCAGTGCTTGAAGTCACTAACTTCTAGTCTTAGCCATGTTGGTAGATGCAGACTACTTGGTTGGGGTCAGTGCGACTATCGTAACCAATGTTTGGAGACTCTTGGTGACATGGCTCAGAATCGATCACAATGGCGTCGGTGTGTACACTCTCTGTCTTCCCTTAAAATCACTTCATATCTTTCTTTCTACGAACTAATCCTTTTTTTCCTGTACCATATTCTTATATGCACTCTTTCTTTTATATATTACCACCATTGACTTAACCACTCCCATGAATCCAGTGTTCATCTTGCTGTGCTAATGCGGTATGGCAACTTGGACCTATGCATATATGTGCCTGGTCCTACGTTGTAGCTGACTGACTGAGTAAAATGGAAGGGGTCAGTAGCAATGATAAACTAAAAGTTGAGACCATGTTTCCTTCATTGCCTAATACCGGCTTTCCAAGATATATTTGTTGAAAGATTCAACGATAACAAGAATACGGAAGCTCACTATCTTTGAAATACTTCTGATTACCTTATAAGATGATTTTGAACGTTTGATATTCTTTTTCTATCGAATGATCCGTGTTCACTAGCTCCATATAGATTCACTTCTACCTCTTTTCAACCAGATCATATAGTATTTTTAAATTATATGAGACAGAATACGCATCAAACGACCTATAAAACCTGTCTTCATTAGAAGCAGCAGATCATTTAACAAATCCGCAGAGAAATGTGATCAGAGATGCAAGAGCGTTTATTCTTTAGATGTTACTGCTAAATTTCTGACTAATTAATAATTTATTTATTTATTGCTAACTCATCTCCATCACACACATTTTATCTCCTATTTTTGTACTTTTTTCTAGAACATTTAGTTCCAGATAGGTATACACATTGTTTTACTCCTAATGAACAACATGAAAAACAAATACAACTATCTATGAAAAAACCAATTTGCCCATACTGTTATTCTTCATGTGATCTAATTAAAGACTCATTAGATCGTTGCTGTTTAAGTGATACATTATTTATTGTAAGTTGTCTATTTTCTGCTGCATTTATTTCTTATCCGGAAGCAATTAAACGAACTAATCTTATCACCACTTCAAATCACCATTATCAACAAGATAAAAAGGATTCGGAATTATTAACTCCTTCAGTTGATAAGTTTATCATGCAATCAGCTTGTGAACAAAGTAAAATGCAAATGCAAATCTATTTGAATACTGTTTTATCTGGTCCAGTTAAATTATCGAAAAAATTATCATCTAGTATTGAAAAAGTGAGTACATAAGTTATCATTACATGTATTATATATATTCTTTCATGTTATCTCTTCCATCGTTTTTACTTCTTTCGATTTAACAAAAAATTATTATCAGTATATGGATTTGTAGAGATTGTAGTGTTTTCACCGTTGAATTCACGGGTCGATCTAAGCTAGACTACCCCATACTACTCACTAGTGACAGTTATCCGCCTCAGACAATAGACGAAGGTTTGCGCAAGATCATGGATTGATTGACGTTAGACATTAACACCGTTGGATACCGGTTCAGTGGTCCGAAGGTTAAGCGTCCGCACGCGAGACGGAAGGTCCTGCGTGCGGGATCGTGGATGCACAATTGTAGGACGAAACGGCCGTTCAATGCTTCCAGGTTTTCGATGGTGGTCTATCCTAAATCGACTCATGAATTCAACTATTAAGTTATTCGAAGTGAGACCTTTAATAAAAAATTATACAGTGCTCCTCCCATTATATAAATAAGAAAGTGATCGGAACTGTTAGATACGATAACCTTAGTGAATATAAAAAATGTTGCAAATAGCTACAGCTTAATTTGCCGTAAGTCACGTTTACAAGTTCACAAATATTTCTTCCAACAGACTTTCAGTTCTACAAAATAACTTGAAAAAAAAGCACGTATTACAAAAGTGTTTACATTTTGTTACAGATCATGTGATATCAATCTACAGATAAGAACCATAAACATTGTATGAACGACCTGGTTTTTATTAAGATACAAACAAACTAGAATTAAGTGTTCCTATATCTGCTTACGATTCATCATTATATACACTTCGTATATATACGTATGCCTATGTTTATACAATAGTCAATTTAAGGTTACATTAAGCTTACAACTAACCCTTCCAACCAATAATACTTAACTTGTTTCCCGATAGATATACTGAAAAGTTGTTTAATATTCGACTAAAATCACAATATATACGATAAAAGCGGAGAGTAAAAAAATAAATAAATTTTTTTCTTGCTTAAAAAATTTCAACATTTATGCATTCCTAAAAGAAATCATCTTTCTTCCAATTGGTCATGTTATTGAATACTTATTTATTGATTTCCAGCTTTTTTATATGGTACGAAGGGAAAAAAAGTGAAAACACTAAGATTTAATTACAGTTGTGATAGCTTAAATGGTTACAACTTTCAATAATGTCATGAACTAGAATCTCGCTTTGTCTACTTGGCTACAAACCACACTCAAAATATGATGCTAGGTAATACTATCCATTTTTCCATACGGAAGTAGGTAGAGCGTGTTTCAAACATGTGATCTAGTGATTAAAAGTCAGGCACTCTAACCACTAAGTCATTGTTCCACTGGTAGGTTCCTCAAAAACTGTGTACTAGGCTCCAAATCTAGTACATAAAACTTTACTTGATCAATGTGTTGCGTTATTGTATTACTTTGCGCAGTCGTATATATATATATATATATATATATATATATATATATATATTCGCAGGCACACAGAAAGTTTTATTGTTAATACGTCTAGAAAATTAATGAATGTATTTATCGTTAAATCTTCATACCATTAACACCAAGCTACTACAGTAGAAGTCAGTAATATATAAGTTTATTGTCTGAAAATAATTTTTGGTTACGCTTCCATCATTATTCGCGTGAAATAGTTATTGGTTTTAACTTTATAGAGTTGTACACTGATTTAAATACTGTGCTAGTTTGCAGAAGGTATTCGGAAGGTAACTGTGGAGTTAGGTTTCGTGTTAGTTGTCACATGGTAGCCAGGTGTACCTCCGATCTGAGTTACTGAGTGGGACAAAAATGACATTGATAATCATTGACCAATCAGTTGCGACCATGGTTACTACTCATACCCATTGTTGACATATGATATGTAGTAATTGTTTCTCTTTTTGGTTACATTGGCTAGTAACTAAAGCACTTGGATTTAATTATCTGAATAATAGTTTGTAATGCACCACTGCTTCAACCAATTACTTTGGTTTAATCAGCTCTATAATACCTCTAGCCTTTAGGTATCTTCTGGAGATTTAGAGTACCAATCTACATGTGGAAAATTAGTTACTCGTTCATCCTTAACAAATAATGGATAATAATAGTATTTCTTACTGTCAATTGTGTAGTAAAAATAAAACATAGATTTTAGTTTGAAAGTCATCAGTTTCAGGTTTATGTATTCATTTATTTATTTGAACATATCAATATTGGTACATAGGGGCACCAGATATATATGCGCCGCACAATAATAATCAGAAAGTGAAGATATAAAGAATGTAAGGTGCGTATAAGAAAGAAGTACAACAATGAACGGAAATTGGTGTTTGATAGTAAAATAACAACAATGGGAGGGACAGTTCAATTAGCAAAAGTACAACCACAGAGAATTCTTCCGCTTAAAGACGTTACGTTTTTTTATGAAGTAAAATAAAGTTACATCAGGATCGCCACTGGCTTCTATTCTGAGCCATATCTGATAACGTCTCTAGCCACTGTGTTGCACCATCCCTCCGACCCCAGTCAGGGAGTCGAGAAGGACCAACAAAAGCCAGTCCTTTGCAGCTTTCTTTCATACCACGACACCATGTCATACACTGACCACCTCTACGCTTGTTCCAACCAGTCCCAGTATCGGCAAATAATGCGCGACATGGAATTCGCTGGGTCGACATTCGTAGAACATGTCCAAGCCACCGAAGTCGATGTTTGAAGATGGTGACACCAATTGAATTATCGTCGCTGTGCCCGAACACACGATGTCGAACCTCTGCATTATTAAAATGGTGTTACCACTGGATGTCAGCAATCGTTCGGAAACAACGATGATCGAACACAGAGAGTCGTCTAACGTCCTCAACTCGGAGAGGCCATGTTTCACAAGGATAGAGCAGAACTGCTCTCACCGACTCGTTGTAGATCCAACCTTTTACAGCGAGACTGACATAAGGAAGGCGCCAAAGATAGTGCAGATTGGCATAAGCCTCTCTGGCTTTGATTATACGTGAATCGATCTCATCACTTACGCCACCACCAGCACTTATGCAGCTACCTAGATACACGAACTTCTCGACTACTTCTATCTGCTCACCACCCAGGGTGAGTACAGGACTATAATTCTGCCAGTCTTGTAGAAGTACTTTTCACTTGGAAGGTGGAAAGCGCATACCGTAGCTGCGGACACTGATTGCCAACAGATTAAGTGTGGATTGCATGGTTTGGGCATTATCGCACAGCAAGACAATATCATCCTCATACTGAAGGTGGAGAAGTCTTTCTCCATGCAACAGATCCACACCGCCATTCCTTACATCCATCAGAGCTGTTTCCAGAACGTCGTCGATAGCGAAGTTGAAGAGGGATGGTGAGATTGGGCGACCTTGTCTAAACTCACTGCTTGAATAGAACTATGGAGAGATTTGGACCATAATTTTTTTGAATGAAAAAAGATACAATTCGAGTATTTCTAGACTGAAGTATGGAAAATGAAATTGAACTCTTTAATACTATCATTGAATATCGAACGCTTTAACCAATAATCCATCACTGCATAGAAAAAAGTATACATTTTACTAATTAATATAAATACACATACAAAAAATACACCTTGAACTTAAATGAACTTATTTTTGTTATTAATTGTCTTTCATGCATATACTTGTCGGTTATTTTACTCGTCTCATTTGTTTTTCTTGCTCATTTCATTCAGTTTTCTGACGATGACTCTTCTGGTATTTTAACAAAATATACTAATTGGTTCAATGCTCTAAATTTAGCCGCTTGTTGTTTACAACGTGTATTTCTTCAATCGACAAATACTATTAATCGTCAACAGCGCCAACATCATTCACGTAGATCGAACTCGTCAATGATGACGATAATGAAACAACGAGCTAATAAATTTGAATCTTCTCATGATTTAAAAGCGTATATGAATAAATTAAAAATTACCAATGACTGGTGGTCAGTATTAATGAACATGTTTGTATGCTGTTTACGTAGTATGTGGTTGGACTGTGTTAGTGATAATCAAGTAAGTACTAGGTGGTAATTTTTCTTCATAACCAATAATATTATTCAATAGTAAGCAAACAACCAATAAAAAATGGATTTAAACTCCACCCCATTGCACAAGTCAGTGGTTAACAGAACTAAGTGGATAACGCGATGGCGTTTGAAGCGGACGATACTGGGCTCTCGAGTCCCGAAGTGAACATCAACTCTGGAATTCAAGTATATCCAGTTGATGACTGACTCCCAAACAGGATGAAACGCTTACCCTGGATTCCACTGCCAGCCACTATTCACCTCTGTTAATAATACATTTGACGTACTGGCAATATCGAGGTAATCCGCACAGGATGCACATATACCAATAAGAAACTAATCAATTGCAGTCTTATATTTAAATAGGAAGATGGATTTCGATTTGTTTGTTTGATTGTAAATATTTCAAGTAGTTAAGCGACAAAAATAACTAAGGAAAAAGTATTACAGTAAAAGCAAAGACAATAACAATACTAAAACCCAAAACATACACCCTTATAAAATGTAAAGAAAGCATACACACATAAACACATACACATGTCGACTGTTGTTTACACGTGATACTGAACATTGATGTTGGCTATTATGTCTTTTTTTCGATTAGTTATATTCATTTGTGCGAAGTATTACTGTGTTTGTGTGTGTATATGTGTTTGCACATGTGATCACTCTCTCTAGCTAAGTAGCGGTAAACAATTTTCTTTGTTCATACATTTAATATATTTATTATTTATTTATTTATTTTTACCTTTCTAAAAGCAGAATTTTTAAGTCTTTTTCTGAAAATTTAATATGATTTTGATGATAGCAAAAGTTTGTAAGTTCTTGTTAGTGGTGTTGTTGATATTCAACACTGCAATTTATGATCAGTCTTTGACGTTATATAGGCTTTTGAAACGGATCACCTTGATGATAGCCTTTGATCACAAGTGTTTTTAGTATATTGGTATATGGGACAATAGTAATGCAATCCAGAACACATGTGTCATCCTATTTGAGACCTGTCAGCTGGATGTACCTGCCTCATCTCAATGTTAGTGTACACATTTGAACTTGAACCCAGTACACTTATTTCTTCAGACATTAGTGCGTTATTCACTGAGCTACTGAGTCCAGGTAGCCATTAAACTGTTCAACAGATATGATGTTTACACTATCATTAGAAAGCGTATAAATTATCCAGTTGTTGATATTCAAGGTTGAAGTCGATATATACTGCTTGAATTCAAGCATCATACTTTTCATCTTCATTTAGTGTTATATGAAGATCGCATAGAAGTGATCCCTAAAAATTTCAGAGCTTTAATCCAAAACAAATAAGAACTTTCAGAAAGTTACTAATATTGGTATACTATATATGTTGGATTACAATCAGAACAAAACAAATGTCCAGTAATCAACGATTCCTAATGGTGTACTGTAGCTCTCATGATGTTGCTGTGCCCGAGTCCAGTACTGATATACAAAACTTCCTGTATGCAAGTCCCCATGCAACTGCTGAGTGAAGAAACTAAAAATGAAGGAGGAAGTTTATCGGGCTCAACCGAATCAAATACATAAAGACTCATTAGTTTTTGTGTACATATGCATATATATACTCCTTGAAAAATTAAACCCTTCATTGGCCAATAAGGTTCACTTGTCTTTAGTTCAACGTGGTGTCCTCATTTTTGCGTTTTTTGATTGGCTAGATGCTGTTGTAAACTTTTATCAAATGAGGTGGTTGGTACATGTATTCTTTATACCCTACCACCGCCGATGTTTTATCTGGTTTAGGAGTAGGCTGGAAGAAAGCTAGAGGTGGCCAAACAAAAACATTTAATCAATCTATAAAGCCACTAACAAATGAACGATCCAGGTGTGGGCTACTTGGTTGGGGTTCGTGTGCTTATCGTAACCAATGGTCAAACTTTGAATAAAATGGTTCAAAATCGTTCGCTGTGGTGCAGATGCATCCATTCTTTGCCTTCGGATGGTTGTTGGAGGTAGTCAATAGGAAACCCTGAACTCGGGTTTCGTGCTACTTGGCACTCGACAGCAAAGTGTACGTGTAATCTTGAGGGAATTAGTGCTTCCTGACGAGTTCGTTCCCGTGTCACCCAGCTTCACAGTCAGAGACGTTACCACTGAGCTATCTGGGTCGCGACCAACCTCCTGTAGAACTGAGATGTAATCACAATTGAATGATCACTGGGTGGTGATCAATGTCATGTGTGTCAAGTCCTTCTTAGTGCATATCGAATGCTATCTGACTATGAAGCTGGGCGACACGAGATCGAATCCGTCAGGGGGCACCAGTTCCCTCAAGATTACAGGTACACCTTGCTGACAAGTGCCGAGTAGCACGAAACCCGAGTCCAGGGTTTCCTATTGACTACCCCCAACCACCATCTAATCTCGACATAGTGCACGCAATGTCGAGTCGCTTAGACTAGTGGCCACCTTGCAACTTGGCCGATAACATTCTATCTGCACTAAGAAAGACTTGACACACATGACATTGATCACCACAGAGTGATCAATCAATTGTGATTCTTTGTCTCCGCCCAAATGCTAAGCTTCTAATTTTATAAAAAATTTTTCATTTCACTAATTCATATTTTCTTGAATCGTATCTTCGATGCTTAATGCTTCCTTATGTATTTAAATACATAAAGATTGGTTCAAGGTACCAAATACATATGCTCCACACAAATCATTCGATATGTATTAGGGCTGGAATACTGCCGGGGCACCCAAACCGGAGTAAGTAGTTTTCTTAGGGAATCACTCCCCGAGCCTTTGACCTACAGATCTAATCCACAAGACAGTGGAGCAACGTTAGAAGATTCAGTCCCGTGGTAGCCGGTGATCAACAGTAGGTTCATACACTACTCGTTCCTCAGGATCCTGGAGCTTATTTGTGCTACTAATTCGGAATCACAGTTTTCCAACTTTCCCAGGTATATCCACCGTACCCACCAACTCGGTTTAAGTGCCAGACATTTGTTCTTCATTTTCTGAATTTCGTAAACACCACCCCTTCCATGAGAAGACATTGAATAGGAATGAGTAGGACACTGATACTATGACGGCCTCTTCTACTCTGGTATTTAACGTAACAATTTCATATCTGTGCTAATGGGATATGCCAACTTGGACCGATGTATATACGGACTAGATTCTACATTGCGACTGAATGATATACAGTCTTAAATAACTTGACATATACATTTACATTCAAATCGACCAAAATCATTCTTTGTTACATGCAATAGATCTATTAAAGTAATCCAAAGGAATAGGCTTTTTTCATGTTATTCATTTTGAAATCTAATTGAAATCTTTCCTATAAAATATTTTTTATTTGTCATTTTTATTCTCCATCCTTTTCTTTTTTTTTCTCCTGCTCTACTTTTGTCTATCTATTCACAATTACAAACAAAATATAGGATCAGATCATTCATTTAAACTTCAATAAATTCTTAGATCAATATCTAAATATTCTATTATGTAATCCATTTGATTCTTCATGTAGTACTACTACTACTACTACATCTACTGATATTGTTGATGTAACAAATAATAATAATAATAGTAGTATAAGTATGGTATCATATCAGTTGATTGATACAAATGAATTTCAATTATACAAACTATTGGCATTATGTTCTCAGTCATCATCATCATCATCATCTTCAACATCATTGTTACCATGGGCGAATAAATTAAGTTCATTGAAAAAATGGCGATCTAATGAAGATCATCTGTTACCTAATGAAACATTATATTTTAATCAACAATATTATTCTAAAACATCCATTTTAAATAATATGCAAAATTATAAAAAATTTCAATTTTCATTAACTACAGTTTGTTTAGCTCGATCTATTGAAACATTATTACATTATCAATTATGTATAAATCATAATGAAATACCATCCATACAAATATGTTTAGATTTATTACTTACAACTAATGAATATTTATCAATTTGTTTAGAAGAATTCAAAACTATTCAGGTAATTTTTTTCTATGTTACATTTATTTTATATGATACAATTACATTTTTATTGGTAAATATTGCTAAGGAGTCCCACAATAGGATGAAACAGCCGTCTAGTACTTCCAGATTTTCCATGATGGTCTAGCTTTAATTGATTCATGATCTCAACCATTGAAATATACTTGTATTTTAACAGCTGAATTCAAAAGTTGATCTAAGCTAGAATACATTTGAAAACCTGGAAGCATTAGACGGCCGTTTCGTCCTATTATGAGATTCTTCAACAGTGCGTATCCACAGTCCCGTTGGCGGGAACTTCGATCTCGTGCGCGAACGCTTAACCTTTAGATCACTGAGCTGAAATCCAATGGTGTTAATGAGATGCCGGCTCAGTGATCTAGAGACTATGAGTTCATTTTGTGTTTGATTCCTGCAAGTGGGACCACGGATGCGTCCCATACTAGGACGAGACGGTCGTTCATTGCATCCAGGTTATAGCAACTCACGTGCAATCGAGTTTGTTCACATTTAATTCGGTTAAGTCATTTTGTTAACTTATTAACGAACTGAGTCATCCGTACAACAACAACTTATCTATATCATTGTATCTTTATTGTTGTTGTGAATGTATGAACATGTATGCTTGAGCAGTGCTCACTGCCTACGCATTCATTCACGCTGCTAGCCTTACTACTAACCGCTTAATTGATTCGATGATTCATTCATTTCACTATGTATATATATGTCCATGTTATTCATGTTCATTGCTCTCTTCGCTTACTCGTACTCATATTCGCTGACTCACTCTCTTGCCTGCTTGCCTCTAGGCACAGCTCTTTTATGCTTGTTTTACGCACCTGTAATTTTGGATATCTGTGTGTGGTCCCATAATAAACGTAATCAACACTTCGTATTCGCCTTATTAATATACCGTTGGGGCGTTATCTAGTGACAGTTATCAAGACGAACTGTATACGAAGTTTAAGGATTATATTGAATACCGACCACCACAAGGTTTCCAACAGTATTTTCTAGCTTAGATCGACTTGTGAATTCAACAGTTAAAATACTACAATTTCCTCAAATTCCCATACTGATAAATATACTTTTATTTACCCTTTTAAGATACATTATTGTTTTTTTGAGGGAGTGTGGAGAGCAGTATGTATGGGAAAATTGAGAAGAGAGAAGAATAAGGGAAAACATGAGTTGATGATTAATTTAGTTCATAAAATGCATTTTATCATCTAACAATGAAAGCAATCGATTGCAATAAGTAATGATACAAGAACACGATTCAAAGTATATAACGATTGAAACTAGAAATGAATAAAATCACAGATACGTTACACGTTCAAGTGAGAAATTATGATTAGTGGGGTTCAACCATTTCACGGATAAGGTATTAACACTCAATCACTTTAAATCAACATTACACTGAATAAATGAATCTTTAAAATATTGACCATTAGATTGTTGCTTAGTGTGTAATCTTAGGTTTTAGATTGTAGATGCACATTGTTGGAGAATCTCAAACTAGGTCAAAACATCTGTCTAGTCCTTTTTGGTTTACCATAGTTCCTCATAACTCATAATCATCTTACTAACAATGATACAGATGCATTCATTCTTTGTCTACCACTAGATCTCGTACTCCACAAATATATGATAGAACTATTCCTCAAATCCATTCTTTCTTGTCGAATCATATTCTCTATACCTAGTTTTTTGTCCAATATCACTAATACTGCTGCTACTTCTGCCACATTGCTATTCATCTCTCTGTGTTAATGTGGCCTAGTAACTTGGATTGGTGCATATATCTACCAGGTTCTATTTTACTTTTGACTAAGGGATTAATAACTTCCTGGATAATGTCAGTTTACAATAGAAACTATCTTATAATCGAAAATAATCTTACACATATTATCAAACTGAAGTTGGAAGTGTAGACAATGTTTTCTTAAAAACTGACAAACTATATATATATGGAATCTGTCTAAAAAGTATCCTTCTTTCCAAGTTGTCATGATTCAGTTTTTATTATTCTGTGTCTATACCACAATTTGTATAGCTTCTCCCACTCATAAACAAGTATAGATAGTTATCTCGATCAACTCATTGTTTATGCCGATGTAACAATGAAACAAAAACAGATGTTAAAAATATTTTTTATACTCAATTCGTTTCTTATTAATCTTGGAAATGTTGTGCAGTAGTTTTTAGTATACTTTTCTCGTCTAATAATTTAGTTTCATCTTCGTGAAATATTTTACACAATGATAGCATCATCTCTTCATCTCACTAAACAGATCCATAGTTTGGTATAATTTCTAAAATATTAAATCCTGTCTCCTAACCTTGACATTACATATATACATTCTATCTATTATTACATGTAAAGCGTGTAGAGAAGTCATCGGAGAACAATCATATGAAGCATTTCCATCTCTGTTTGTCTGCCCATAATTTTTAATCTTGATGGGCGATCAGATATCCTTATGCTGTGAGTAGTACAAGTTAATAATTGTAAACCATTGTTTCATAAGTGTACATGATTTGACTGTATTTCCTTAGTTAAAGATGAATCTTACTTTTTATTTCGAATTATTAATGGGAATTTTTAAACTATTATTACTGTAGTGAACGAGATTTCAGATGGGGAAAACTAATTTATTGTTTGATGCGAAATTACACAACGGCTTAGTAAAATATGAAAATCATGCATTAAATACGTCATTTGCATATCTTCTTTGCGTTGTCCTTTACATACTTCATGATTCTTTCAATTCTGTTGTTATTATTATTACAATTATTTACTGTTCTCTTCAATTCAATCTTCTGCTAACAGACATTCCACTTCCATTTGTGGCCACATACTACTTATATATACTAGCATAAATAGTATACACCACATTACTACTACTAATTTTGTGGAAATTTTTAATAATACTATCAGTATTTTTTCCCTTGTCAGTTTTAAAAAAACATGTAACCAAGGTTTCTACATTATGTATCAGCACAGCCAGAGAGAGACCATAAAAAAACTATTTTTAAAGAATATATAAAACGATTAGTTCACCAAAGGAATCCTTTTCCAAAGAGCTCATTTTCGAACCTCTGGATCTATTTATATGTATTTGAAATTAAAAACTTAGAAAGAATTATATGCTTACGAGTCATATTTATCACAAACTGATCTTAGTTGGGGTATCCCAGAAAATCAGGGAGCACTAGACAGTTGTTTCCTCCTAGTTTGGGACCTGAAGGTTTTGGGGTTGGTTTTTGGCGAGGTTGTGGATGCGCGCTACTACGGATTACTATACTAGAGCAATACAGTTCCCTAGTTTTCTATAGTATCTCAACTGAGGTTGATCTGAATAATACGAATTAAAATCTTAGTAAATATATATATATATTGCTCGATTCTACCTCATTTATTACAAGTATATTTACTCAGCTTTTAATATCACCCTTACGCTCTTCTTTGTTTCTCCTAACAGGGTGATAAATTGGAATACTTAGACATAATTAATAATGTATTAAAACAAGTTTTACGTTATCTCCCATCGGATCTCACTCCTTATTCAATTACATCATCGTCAACTACTAGTTCACCCACGACTACAGAAAATGATAGCACCAACAACAACACGACTGTCAATAAAGACATTTTGCGAATTTTTGTTAATTTACGTTTACACCAGTTAAACGTTATGCTTTTACGACATCATCATGGTGTAACATTTAAACGTGGCAAATCACAAACTCCTGCTTGGTTTACAATGATTACACAAGCTAGAACTACATTAGATTGGCATGCTTCTTATTTAGCTAGTAATACTAATATTATCGCTTCTAAGGGGGAAGATAAACACTTGAACATTGATTTACAAGATGTGATTTTACATGTGACTTTGTTAAGTCATCTTGTCAGTTTGCAGACAGTAAATCAAGGTAAGTTTTACCCATATTAAATTCATATTTGTTTATTTGCTTTTTTAAAGGTAGGTAGTTTATAATAGGATGAATAATTTCTACATATTAATTAGTAATGAAGTTCTGTTTTTAATCTAAACTAATTCATATTGATTAGTCAATTTTGTATGATATATTTTCGGGATTAGTAGTAACTAGTATTCTACTTTCCATACAATGGCTAAGAAGAACATATTGTGCCCGCAGTGTCGAGTCACCTAGACTGGTGGCCACATTGCAACATGATCGATAGCATTCGATCTGCACTAATAAGGATTAGATATGCATGACATTGATCGCCACCGAGTGATCAATCATTTGTGATTACATCTCAGTCCTACAGGAGGTCGGTCGCGGCTCGGATAGCTCAGTGGTAACGTCTTTGACTGTGAAGCTGGGTGACACGATATCGAATCCGTCAGGGAGCACCAGTTCCCTCAAGATTACAGGTACACATTGCTGACGAGTGCCAAGTAGCACGAAACCCGTATACAGGGTTTCCTATTGACTACCTCCAACCACCATCTAACCTTAATATATAGTGCCCGCAGTGTCGAGTCACCTAGACTGGTGGCCACATTGCAACATGATCGATAGCATTCGATCTGCACCAATAAGGACTAGACACACATGACATTGATCGCCACCAAGTGATCAATCAATTGTGATACCGAAACTTATTTAACAGTTCACCTTTGTTAATTTATGTTGTTTTAGACATCCGTTATTGAATAATAAAACCCGTTTTCTAACCAGATTATGTTAGCTCATTCAAGTATTTAGTTCTGATTGAAGTCTAATATGTTTCTTGGTTTTTAATTGAATCTATTTTATTGTACAGTGGTCAAATTAGTGTTGAAGGCCAATAATATATTCATTGAGATTGTTGTAACGTTTGGTGATGTTGAGTTTTCTAAGCTAGATAATTTAATTACACAGCATTTATTGTTGTTCTGGACAACATCTTACTTCATGTAGAAGCGAACTTTTTAAGTTATTCCACCAGTCTTAAAACAGTTTGTCCTGGTGGTCTTGATTGTGTGTTAGTAATTATTCTCGTAGATTTTATTATATTCAACTGCCTTTCTGTACAAGTTGACTTTTGACCAAGTTATCATCTTTTCCAAATGGATTAGTAGAGCAGGTATAAATTGATTTGTCCACTGATTGCTAATTGACTTGAATGCTATGCTTCCAGAAATGCTGTGACATGCTTGGGATTCTCATGATCCAGAATTTCAACGTTCTTCTAGTCCAATCCATCTTTGTAATTGTCTATATGTACTGATATCAGTGTCCTTCCACTGATAGTTTGTGTTCATGTGTGGATAGGAAGAGGGGATCCACTTTGTTTAGCGTAGTATTTATCACAGTCGATGTAATTTATTTTGTAGACAGTACTGAATCTTTCTTCTGTCACTGTTGTATTTTATGGTCTATATAAAATAGAGCGGAGTGATTGTGTTGCTTCATGATCGATATTGATTTTAAAGGGTTTCCAAATCCTTGTGGTGATTCCTAAGGTGTTTTTCACATTTAGAAGGATCATCCATTTTCTAATTCTTGAGATTCATTCTATGATGGTGGATTAATTCCTCAGACACTTTAATTTTCTATATTAGCCAGTTTTACAACAACAACAACAAAAAACAGACAGACAGATAAGTTTCTTCCATTTTTTATCTCCTGGATATCTCTAATCAATCACTCAAGAATAGTCCCAATATAGTAAATTTCCAGTTTAAAATATTTACATATCCTTTATCGAAAATCCATATTTTATTCTACCATTTTTCTTGTTTCTAGATGTATTATCTATATTCGGTATTCAAGCTATTCTTCGAGATATTTGTAGAATTCATCCTATCCTAAAATTATTGATCAGTTCTTCTGATTATTTTACAACAAATCCATTATATTCTAATCTACAAGGTCCCTTAAATTCAATTTCAAACAATTTAACTAAATTATGTGATACACTAGCTAGAAAATCACAAACTAAACGTGAAAATAAATCTGACTTAAAATTAACTAACAGTCAACATGTCAAGAAAACGAAACAAAAGAATAGTGGTAGTAACAACAATCGACTGACAGAACAAAACATCTCAGAAACTAATGATCATTATCATGAAAACTTTTCTCCAGAATCTTTATTACTGTCGAACATAAAAAAGCAGCAACAACAACAGGATAATTTTTTAACAACAAAACAAACTATCAATGAAGCAAACAATTCATCATCACCACAACCATCATGTCAAGCATTCAATAATCACTGTCAAGTTCTACAATGTCAAATTGAACATTTAACAAAGTATTTAAGTGAATTATGAGAAATAAAAGCGTAAAAAAAAGAAGAGTAAATAACTATCCTACTCATATATTTATTTTTTTATTCACACTACCTAAGCTTTCTGTCCTCCTGTTTCATATGTAGAAATTTTATTCATTCCCTCTTGTATTTAACATAGATATTTCTCATTTTCATTTGTATGATACACGATTATTATTGTCTTTATAGCCTTCATATTCTTTGAAAGTAACTTTGTTTGCGTTTTACACTTTGCATAAACTAATTCAAGATGAATGTATTTTTGATTATTTACGGAGGGGGGAGTTGAATGTGTTGAAACACATTTTTAAATCGATATAAACTTCCACTACTTTCAAGATGTATAATAGGATAAGCTTGGGGGTTTCTTTAGTTGTGAAGTCTTTTAGATACATTCACAATCAACAAATTTGATTGAAATCATGAATCGATCAATGTTAGACTAACATTGAAAACCTGGAAGCACTGGACCAACATTTCGTCGATTCATTATCTTAATCAAATACTTAACAATCTCCACAACTCCATACTGATAACTACTATGTGCTCACTAGTGACTGGCTTCGTAAAGAATTTCTCGAAGTTATAGTAAGAAGCATCCACAATTAACAAATTGTTATAGAGAATCTTGTCTTTTTATTCAAACGCTAGACTATAATTCTTGTGGATTAGAAACTTTGTTAAGTGTTGAAAACAGGTTGATCAAATACTGTTCATTGTTTTGTACTTCATGTTTTAAAACGATATAGTTATCCGTCATGTAACTATTAAAGTGGAAATAACATTTTTTGCAATTCAAAACAAAAACATAATAATTAGTCAATATCATTTTACTCTGACTATGGTACTAATATGCAAAGTTCAGTTTCGTGTATTCGGCTTTGAGCCACAGTTTGTTGGAATGCTGGTGATACTTTTCAGCTGTTCAAATTGGAGTAGGTAGAACGAGACTCGAACTTGTGACTTAGTGATTGAAAGTCGACTGTCGTAACTACTAAGTCACTACTCTAAAGTATCTTTATAGCTGCTATGTTCAATCAATGTGTGCGTCCAAATATAAACGACACGATGATATAAACAATGAAAAGTTTCATCAACTAAAGCAGTAACTAAAATGTACGGATCCAGATAGTGAATTTTTATCCAATGTTTTTTTCACTATTCTTAGTCTCAGCCAAACACGTAGATCTAAGCGTGTGCGATTGCGTTGTTTTTTAGACCAGGTTCATTTGAAATACGCTTTTAGTTCCAGGAAAGATGATGCATACCAACGTTCAGAAGAAGTACAATCCAACACTACTTGATGAGGTTTCTGTCGGATCGGAAAACATAACAATATGTTCGGTGTTCAAGAGATAAAAACACAATTAATGGTACGGAAAGCTAAACACTGAGCAACAACTTAGCTCTTACCTCATGTTTGATAAAATAAACGTCAAAGCTAATAGGACAGCCAACTAAGACTACGTATATGACAAAAAGGCCCCCTCTCCATGCTTATCCAATTATCACTACACATTCTTGAGTTCTTATCTGATAACATTCAGTTGAAGTGAACCTATCGGTGCTGCAATTAGAGACCCATAATGACCAAATGGTCCCCTGGAGGGGATATTTGTGGGTCCCCGCCTCTTTTAGGTTCTTGAAATATAACTTCATATATATCCATATTCATGTTAGGAGTTAACAGTGACACCTGAGAAAAAGATCTATTATTTCTGAACACCAGCAAATCAATCAGTCCCAGCTGGGTAACGTGCTAGTAGAACTGACTCAGTAACATGTGTTTATTTATTAGATACTACAGCAGTGGATTATACTTTTAAGAGCTTGGGAAAACATTTTCCCTTCTAAATTATGGGTCGCAGAAATAAAAGTACTACGGGAAACTATGCGTTATCTTTCTACGTGTCCAACTATTAAAATCAGACTGATAAAATCCAAGTTGTTCCTTCTGTATTTTTAGGACTGGTCTAAATCAACCTCTGAACTGATGATAGGGAGCGAAGCGAGCGTGTCAACCACTCCACTTATCGCAAAAGTTCAGAAAGCTCGTTTGGTTTTTATAAACCCGCGTCATCTGTGGCACAGATAGGATGTCGGTCTGCCAACCAAAGGACGAGTTTACTGTATAGCGACTCTCCTTGTCCTGCTTTGAGTTTGAAGTGTGGTCATTGAGAGTAGAGGATAATTTGCAGGCTGTGTTACACGATATATGCCTCAGAACCATTGCTCATGTACTTTAGAACCACTGAGTGAACAACTCCTAGGAATAGGGTACCAAGTACAGATGGCAAATCGACTGAGGCGGTTGGGACATGTAAAACAAGTACCCAACGGCCGCCTACCTCAACAGGCGATGCTTGTTAGTGTAGGAGTACACTACAAAGCTAGGTGTGGTTAAACTAAGACCTGGCGTTAGTTCATGAAGTCACTAACTGTCGGATCGAGCCATGTAAGTACATAGTACCTGGTTGATGGTCCGTATGATCATCGTAACCTATCGTTAGACTTTGGATGACATGGCTCACAATCGTTTGCAATGGCTAAGATGCACTTACTCTTCCCTTGTAGTGGACGCTACTCGCAAGATTTTTTGTAAGTAGTGTATGGCGGGACGTAGCGTCGAAGTTGCAAAATGTGTTAGACGGAATGAAGAGTTTTAGTACATCGAAAGCACGGAAGATCAGACAAGAAATCCGTTTAGACTTCAGAACACACCGATGGATGATTGAAGGCTATGTAGTATGTAAATGCTTATAATACTTATAATAAACATACAATCCCTCAGTCCATTAACGTGTTCTTGAAAACAGAAATCTCCTTTTGTTTTCACCTAACATTTCTTACTACCACTAATAATGTTACTACTACTATTACTCTAGGATTTGTCTCGCCATGCGGATGTGCTGTGGCAACTTAGGACGACGCACGTGTCATATTCTATGTTGCACATAACTGACTGATTTCCATTCAATCTCTTAAAGACAATGGTACTTTTATTTTATGATATGATCTCATGTAGTTGGCTTCGGGCAATACAAACAGGCATAATGAACGCGGGGTTTAGTACAAATGTGCTTTAAATAAAGTTCTTATACCATTTTAGCACGATGAGATGAAATTAACAATATATATATATAATGAGGAAGATTAAATATTGGGAGTGTAGTTTCAAAAGATGGGATGAAAAGATGTGTGAAGAAATACTGGAATCCAATGTCTGTAAGATTGGATGCATTTACGCCACCGTGACCGATTTCGAGCCACGTCATAAATTGATACCTAACTCTCATTCAACCTACTCCAATACTACCAAACATCGGGTATCGATATAGGTAGTCATTAGTCATACATAATAATATACGGATCCTCAAACAGAAGTAGGTGGAGAAAGGGATTGAAACCCAGTCCATTTGAAGGATAAGTGTTTTAATCATTTAGTTAGTGTGTGATATGCAAGACGTGCCAGTTTACTATCGTAATTTTGGTAAGCCGATAAGTTTATAGATTCAGTTGCCAATAAAAACTTGAACAAAAAACACAACGATCTGTAAAACTACAAACTTCACTTGTTTTTTAACTAGGCAAATTCTTTTTCGATTTTAAATATACATTTTATGTATATATGTACGTTGGATTTATTCACAGGATATAAGGGGGAAAAGGTTTTATTTAAAACGAATAGTGATATAGCACGCGTTCGAACGAATGACAAAAAAAATCTAAATGGACAAACAAGTGAACAGATATTAAGATGAGAAAAAAGGAACAAGTTCCGAATAGTGATTTACAAGGATTTCAGCGGAGAAACAAAGGAAAGTTATTTCTTGTACACATACATCAAAACTTCAATGATAAAGTAACTACAGTTTGTTTTACCAGGAAAGATATACGTAGAAGTGTCTGTGGTGAAAGTCAAGTGTGAAATTTTAAGATAAAAAAATTTAGTCTTCTGGGTTATTTTTCTTCACACCATTCATTTTCTTTCTTAACCTAAAGAAACAATAAAACATGAAAAATAGGAAATAAACCATTTAACAAAGAAATAATTTATTCATATGTGCTACAGAAGAGTGGATCAGTGGCTTAATGATTAAGGCGTTCAACTTTCAGCCACCAATCTCCAGGTTTGAACCCCGTTCCACATACTTCTTTTTGGGCAACCAGAGTAGTATCACTAGCTTCTATATTTGGAGTATGGCTCAGTACCAGCTTAAGAAAAAACAGATGTGGGGCGTTAACCTTTGATGGTAAATACGTTTGACCCCAAGAAGATTCTTTTAAGAAATCTTGGTACGTCTGAACTAACCCTGAATCTATCCGCTAAAGCGCATTACTGCTGAAGTGTTGTCAGTCGGTATTTATATCGGTTGTACAAGGTGATATTTTGGATTCAGTTAACTTATTTGCGAATCCAAGAGTATTCATTATATTTATTGAACAAATTACTACTAAGTCTCTCTCGATCATCACTTATAACAAAACATTAATGTTATTTGGTGAGAAGTATTAAATTGACGTTTTCTACTAGATAGTGATCTTTCTACTTTGCATACAGATAGACGTTACCTGATTTGAATAAAAGCTTTTCACAATAAGATGAGGAACAGTAAGGGACAGGCAAATAAATAAGTCTAAGGAGTTAAACGGCTCCAGGATACAGACAAAGTCCTAGGGATAGAAAATTATGTAAAAGTCGATAAAAATTGTTCTGATTAGGCAACTTAATAATGGTTACGGCATTGGAAAATACTAAATTGTGAATATCCAACAATTAGCTTCCAAATAACTTTGCCTACAGTTAAAACTATTATAATGAACTGATGAGACGGCAATTAAGTTGATGATTGAGTCAAGAGGCTAGTAAACATGAGATCATGAATGATGATGTGTGTTCGCAAATGGTTACTTAAAAGATATGACCTTTAAGCGACGCCAAATCGACCTTGGGAATGTCCACTTTCCAACTAGAACTACATGAGGTTTAAAGCCAGTGTGAGGAATTAGAATTTACACTTGATGGTCAGGGTTAGGTACTAAATCTAGGGGTTTTAGCACGAAATGACATTAGCTAAAATGCCAAAACTCTATTTAGCCAAATGAATGGATTTTGCGCCGAAATCCAAGACCCGTTGCCATAAATCTGATTGGTTCGCCCATAAATCATAGTGTCGCCGAATATTTTTGCTAGGTCACAGGTATATTCTGGGTGTAAGTCTGAAACTACATACTTACTTGTTCTTCCTCCTGGGGCGTGAAATCACACTTAATATTGAAGGTTTTGCGTATTTCTTCTGGTGTTTTTCCTTTGATCATATTAGCTACAGTTTTACAGCATACATCCAACAGTCCCCTAATATCGAGATAGTTGGCAGCTAACATCAACTCAAACAGTGTTCCTTGGTCGACACGGAGGAACTCTTGATCCCAACTAGGAATATCATCTGTACGACGTTCTTTGTTTTCGTCATCTTCCTGGGGTGGTGGATCGTCTTTGTGATAAGTGCACCACTGAATAACTTTACGCAGAATTCCGGCATTAACATTTGGGAGGGGAACTGGCTCTTCATCTCCTTGCTCCTCCAACCCTAAATCTATAGAAAATAACAATATACAACATAGTCTTAATTACTTCACAATGTTGTTCACAATAGTTAGCTATTTTGGTGGTTATACATATGGATTTCTAAATATCTAAACTTTACAAGTTCAATAGAGGCTCAACCACAGTCTTATTCACATTATAATTGATGAATAAAGTGTACTTCATGTACTAGGATATTGTAAAACCCGCAAATTACATGTTAGTCTGGAAAATCTGGAAACCATGATGTTTTTCAAGAAATACTTTGTCTGTGTCTCCAAAAAACTGCACTTTATGGAGCTGACAGAGCTTTTGCAAGTGGAATAGTCACTCGTAAATTTTGAAAATAAGTCACATTATTAGTGTTACGACTTGTTGCCAGTTAATATATCACGTGATAGAGTAGCTAATCAGCTTAACAGCTTAAAAATAGTAAATCGTATAATAACAGTCTATAGGTCAAAATAAAGCATATAATAATAGGAATACAAATGTGCATAATCTAGTTACTCAAGTTATGCAATAAGGATATATGTATGTCAAGTGATTTTGCCAACTCTAGGTTATGAATACAATCGTTTAACGCAACTGAATATTAGATATTCAATGAGATTCAAAAACCAACACTTTTGCACAAGAACTAGGGACAACATCCCTCAAGGAAGTATGTTGGTTTACATTAAACAGGAGTGTTGAAAATGCAATGTGTGACATAAACTTATTATCAACTTTGCTCAGAAGACTAGATAATATAGTAATGAATACTGTTAAACGTCTGAGAAACTGACCGACCAATAGTAGATTAAATTTACTTCACTTTGTGAATGCATCAACTGCATAAAATAGACTCCCCAGTATGAATGAAAATAATCATTGTTTAATACTTGTTTATTTATTTATCTGAACATATAAATATTGGTACAAAGGGGTACCGAATGCATATGCGTCACACAAGTCAATTGATTTGTGTGTGGGTTGTGATACTGCCCGAGTTCCCAGACCGAAGCAGGTGGTTTCCTTAGGGAGCCGCTCTCTGAAGAAATTTTACGTCTCATAGTCTCACTTTACAATTACTTAGTTGACGAAAGAAGTCCGTAAGTACGACATATGGAGTGCGAAACAGAAATACGAAAGTAACAAGGCCGACACACTCCAGGCGAGTTACTGCTAAGGATAGTCAGGAAGTGTATTTTTAGGGCATTCCAAGTGTTGGTGTTAGTATGGGAAACGAGACCATTGTCTGCTCCCAGAGATCCAATGAATTATGTCATTATTAGCCACCATGAAAATTTGTACAGGATCAAACAAAAAAATATTAACGGCTATTGAGCGTAAGGCCATAATGTACAATAATACGGTGGGTTGGAACACATTACTTTAAGGAATAGAATGAGACCAAGGTGTATGTAATTGCCCCCAAATGCCCTGGTACGACCGAGGGTGGTGAGAGTCAGCTCTCCCTCTCCAAATGCTCTCACGTGGCCACGCAGATACAACCACTGCCAGGGGAATACCACTAACTGACTTCTCGTGACAGGGGTGTTGTTTTCGAAACAGAGTACGTAAAGCGAGTATCCGGCGCTTAACTGGGTTGGTGGATATGGAGGATCCACCCAGGGGGGGGTTGGAAAACCACTATTCCCAACTATTGGTGCACATGGGCTCCAGGATCCTGAAGGAGCAAATGGCGTATGGAACTATTGCTGGTCACCGGCCATCATGGGACTGTACCACCTGCTTCGGTTTGAGCACCAGGGTAGTTTCGCAGCTCTCACACAAATCATTGGTAATTACTACTGGCCTAATCGTTATTGTGTGGTGCATATGTATTTGGTGCCCGCTTGTACCAATGTTTATTCGTCTAAATAAAGGAATAGATTCCATCATTACGCTAACATACTGTGTTAATTTTTTGAACAAAGAACAGATAGCTGGCATCCAGAAAGAACACACTAGGATCGGTAAAACTATAATTTATGGACGAACCAATCAGAGTTATGATAACAAGTCATCGCATTTTATCTCATATAAGTTTGTGTTAAAACCCCTAAATTTAGTTCCCAACCCTGACCATCAAGTGTAAATTCTAATTCCTCACACTTGTTTGTAAACCTCATTTAGTTCTAGTTAGAAGGTGAACATTCCCAAAGTCAATTTGGCGTCGTTAATGGTTGTCCACAAATGATGGTGCCAATGAAATCATTTAAGAACTTAAAAAACGGAATCTGAAAGCTCAGCTTAGTGAGGGACAATAACACAAACCAAATGATAGTCTACAGAACTGTGGCAAAGATTATGTACATGTCCAATCCCATTTCGGGTAAATTTGGGGTTTTTCTGAAACTTTGGTGATTTTAACCAGACGGACTGAAATTTTGACGTTTTAGTGCTACTTCCTCAAAGTTTTCTATAGCGGTTTCTCCTAAATTTACCCAAAACGGCAATAAACATTCTCCAAAATAGGGAGGTCGGATGATAACACAAGCCCAAAGACGGACAGTCCACACAGTAATGTGGACTTCCGGGCATACACAACAATCCCAAGTTGATCTAACATAACTGCACAGAAAAAACACCTAAATAAGCCGTTCTAAGCGTTTACAAGATGAAGTTGGTGGAGTTATTTCGAAAAGTTATGATATGCAATTATTTTCTTACCATCCAACATGGTTTTTATGGTGACGGATTGTTTTGCAATAGCCACATCTATATCAAAAACCTCACCATCGGAACTAGCAAGTTTGATCGACGGCATCTTGGATATATCGTAGCAACCGCGGTAACCTCAGCAATCTGCACTTCCTTTTATCATTGATAAACTAAAACAAACCTGTGCATTATAATTGTATGGTGCGAATCAAAACACTTTTGGCGTCCGAATCTTTGTGGGAACAGAACATTCTCTGGTTTTAATAGTCCATTTTTACATACATTATATAAATCAGATGGAAAGATTGTATTAGATTTGTTCATTGGTGACAGGTTGCTTTTCCAGTGTTCAGCTCTCACTCGAGTTGCGTCATTCCGTTCAGTTTGTAGTACTGTGAAGATCTAGTCTCGCTGTTACTGTCTCAACAGATGCTGGTGTTACGTGTTCTGGTAGAGAATGCCAGAAATTCACCACAATCTGTGAGAAACACAACTACAGAGGTATACGAATTGATTTCGAATTTCGAGCCTTCTTAGAATGTCCTCTCAGATGAACGGAAAAGATAAGAAATATTAATACTAAGATCATCATTCAATATGAGCTAAGCCAGTATTAGACTACCCCGTACCCTGTGGTAAGTTAACGGAAAGAGTTGAGATATCTCAGTTTGTCCTCATATGGCAGGCGTTAGAAAGATGTAAGTTGAATTAAAGTATTTCCACGCAGAATTGCATTGAGTAATGATAACCCTCTGTGTCTTAAACAACCAGCGCTAGAATATACTTGAAGAAGACTCTACAATCTACATATGTAAAATTCCCAAGTATGCCATTTTTCTTATTGTACTTCCCTCCGCTAAGCAACCTTGTTTGTTTGGTATATAATTATGTCCCTGTTCAACCGTTGCCTGATTTGGGGACTTATCGAGTGAAGTTGTGTCCAAGAATACCAATTAATAGGAGTAGTTTGGTTGTAATAGGAGATTTTGTATCAATGGGTCAGAGAGACATTTGACCATTTTAATCCCTCACCGTTGGACTCATTCTAGCATATCCGTTTCATAATTGAAGCAACGGCCTGCTGCCTGAAACACATATTATATATGCGGCTGCGAAATTGTCGATTATAATGCCCACAGATATGGCTTAAATCATCTGGAATTCGCTAGTCATACAATCAGGTAGCCGTTTATCTAGTTATAAGCACCAAAAGTATGAAAAGTATAGGTAACATAAAATTCAACTGCGTTATCTCGAAAATAAGCAAAATGACGGGTTGGATAACCGAAACAGAAGCGAGTAAAGGAAGCCAGTAAAAGTGGGATAGCAGGCAATAAATAATATACGAGCCTACGTTACGAGAACTTGATCAATCATTTCTTATTGAACAGTCTTTAAAGTTACCCTCCTGTGGTACCACTTTACCGGGGTACTCAGAATCAATGTCCATTATCGGTTAAGACCAAAATGTCCACCGTTTTCTGAGGTAGAGAGAGGAAGTCAATTTCTTAATTCAGAAACTCCCCTAAGTACACATCTCTATATCTTTTCAGACAAAAACGCATCTAATTATGGTAAAGAAGTTCTTTTGATATTGTAAACTTCAGTGAAAAAAATTACATACATTAAAAAGATTGAAAAATGGTCGATCGTGTAACATAATAAATGCTCTGAAAATACTTCAACATTTTCTTGTTGCACTGTATTGCCACATCTTGAATTTTCATTGCTAATATCTTGGGTGACCGAACTCAAGGTTCCAGCCTGCAACAGTTGATCATTACTGCTATTTTGCTTTTTACTGGAAACGTTCTTTGACCGTATTAGTTCTTGTGGATTGAGACTTGATCCCATTTTGTTCGGAAAATTCTTGTTGATTCTTGGGTACTTGGTAGGTGTGTAGAATTATGGTCTACTATGATATTAGTACTGCTCTAATAATAGACTTAATCCTAAATTTGTAGATTTGTCATGATATAACTGCCTAATCTATAAGATCTTACGTGGAAGTCACACCATCGACTACACCAACTCACTGTATCGTATCAATTACCAATACATGATGTAGAACAAGATGAATATCTATTTTCTGAGTAGTCTCGTGTTAGGTGCATCTGGTGCCGGTTTTCGTCTGTGTAGTGAATTATTTTATACTAGAAAGAATTTTAACTGTATACTGACTGAGCCAGTATGACATGATCATTTATCATATTATTAACACACAAAGTTAGCACAGGATGTGTTTTTTGACGTCATAGTTGACAGTGAATAATTCAAATAACCTCCGTACTCTATTCAGATTAATGAAGTATTATGGCCCGATAGACTAGTCCTTTGTGTCGTTGAATCATCCTCTGTGTTTTTACTAAACTTTTAGTTCTCGGTCGTAACTGGCAATGCATTAGTGTATAGGCCTTTGTTTGTTTTTTAAGTGGTGTAAACTAATTCTGAGAACTTTACTTGAATGCTACACAAATCACAATCCATCCGTGTGCGAGAAGCACAACATTTACATCAGAAACCGGAGAATACTGTCAGATATTTCCTATAACCACCTATCTGAACTTTCTCTATTCCTTATTTTTTAACTACATCCGGGTATTTTGAAATTGCGTTTTAGTGTTAACAAATCTAGTAGATAACTGTAACTCGATGCGAATAACGTAAATCGGAAACAGGAATCTAGGAAATTAAGGGGGATCCACAACAAATATGGGAAGAAGCCTTGCGATCGAAACACTTGAGTATTTTACCTGTAAGTGCTATCCAGGATTTTTCAAATAACCCTTTGCCTTTGAAATATATTTAAAGACGATTTAGTATTGAACCAGTAAAATTCATGTGACATACTTTTATACCGGCGGCCTTTTATCTGAAATTGCATCATATTCATAATGGAATTCTAGCCTTGCCTATTAATTCTCTAATTCAGCCACTTATAAACTCCCGTTTTAGAATTGTGTATAGGATCGATGTGTTTCGTCATATCGCCTTTTACTCCAAAACTAATTATGAATTGGACCCACAACGAACCGGTGTACAAAGGGTACGTAACCAAAGCTGCAAAACCGATAAATTTATGTATTGGCAAGTTAAATTTATTTCTGAATTTTAGTTTCTAGCTTTTATACTTCAAGACGATATTTGTCTTTAAAGCTTAGCGCTGAGCGTATAAGTCTAATTTTCACGTCATGAAACTTGTTATCCTTTAAGTAATTATTTGACTTTTTCATCGCAAACGTATATGTAAACGAGATCTGTGCATCTTATCGATGTATCTTAAACACTTCACGATTACTCATCTTACCTCCAGAACGATATAGTTTGGATTATGTTTAGCCTTCAATTAAACGTTGGGTACTCATCCTTTAATATAGATAAATTTAAAACACAATAGTTGGATTGACCTGGCTCTAATTATAAGGGTTATAAACATGAACTATACAAGAAATATTGACGTATAGCACCACCACGCTATACATTCAAAAGAATTACTCAGCACTAGGCAGTATTGTCAAAAATGCTTTGAAGATACATCCATTAATTTTCAATGAATACGAGTTAATTACTTCTCAACCAGAAAAGAACATTTCTAACAATCTAGAAAAATTATGTTACCGTTTTGAGCTAATTCAGTCCAGTAAATTTAAACGGAACAAATTCAAGCCAAAAAAGTAATATGACAGTCATGTAATTTCGAGAATAATTAAAACGAAATTAATGCAATCTATAAAAAAATTAACAGAATAATGCGATACACTAAGGAAATCGAATCATGAGTACGATGATATATGAAAATTTCATCTAGGAACAAAAATAAGTGAAATGTGCAGATGAATAAGTCAAAAATGACCATTTTTCATTCAAGTGCCAAAACAAAGGGTTATTGATGTGCGAAAAAGTTTACATGGATGGATTTTCACAAACAAGCCCATACATACACGCGAACAAAAAGAATGTACGGCTTTAACTATCATTTGTTAATTTCTTAACTGATCATCCCATTCACTTTAAAACTATATCACTGTGTACTTGATATATATACTTGGGTTATATAAAGTTTCCTAAAGCAATTGTGCGAGCATACTGTAATGGATTGACTGTTTTGTTAGACGAATATGATTCAAACTCGTGACTCTGCTATGCATTTATGATTACTAAACTATTAAAACGTATTAGTGTCTACGGCTATCGACTGTTACAGAAATGGAAATAAATTGGGAGGTAATACGGAATTGTATAGTTCAGGCTCATAATAGTGCCAGACCAAAGACTTGAGGCAAGAAGACGGAATTGTATAAATTTATATAATACGTTTACTTGATCTAATAATATAGTCATGGCTACATATACATGTATATAAAACTGTAGTAAGTCATATAAATGAATACAAAATGACCAATATGATTACAATGACACAGTTGATTGTAACATACATGGTAAATTTTGTACTCGTTCATTCAAGAATGGGCTTGCACAGACTTTTCATGCATCTTCGTTCTAGCACACTCATAAACCTTATTAAGTGATTGAAATATCTATATGAAAGCCAAGTGCTACAATATTCTGACTTTCAAAAAACTTACCCGTAAACATGTGATTATAAACCACTGATTGTTCGAAGATTGTGTGTACAGATATAAAGTTAGGATGTTTCAAAAACGTCCAAAAGTACCTAAAGTACTGTAAACCAATCAACGATCTTGTTAAGTTCAAATACATTCTGAAATTCAACATTTGGACGTTTTTTTATGTCAGACACATAAATAATAACTAAATCATCTTTTTGTGGGCTTGTTAGAAGTTAAAATACAAGACAGGAAAAAAGGAATAAATAAGTAACAATGCTGTCGAATAAAATGCTTTGGAGGGGTTTTCAGTGTGTTCTTTTCATTACACTCGACCTTACTAGTCCGAATTATTCTGGAAAAATTCCTCCAGCCCTATATCCCGCCCTCTGATTTTGTCAGGAATTGAAAGTTAAAGTGAGCTAAGTGGTTCACAAACTAGTTAAGAAGTTAATGTTTCGCATTTTTGGTATTCCAGACATAAAAGAGTAATATAAAAGACGTCACTTAATTTCAGAGAATCATATTTACTGTTGAG